TTTTGGCGCCCATACCGGACGGGGTATGGGGACGACCATGGAATATGATTTCAAGTGTTAAGAGTTAACGGGTAGCGGGACCCCTATGGATCCCCATGGATACTAGTGGGCTGGTAAATGAGGAAAATATATTGTGTAACGATTGAATTACGAAAGGCTTGATAAGTATTACGTTATACAGTTTATATATGATTTCATGATGATGATGATGTTATTGTTTTCGTATATTGACTTATGAATTTCACCGAGGTAAGTGAATGGTAAAGGTTTTATTATTGATAAAAGGTTTTGTTGTAAATTATGCTCCATTGGTCTTTTTGTGTTTTCTACCCACCTTTACCTCCGTGACGGTGAGATATCGTGATGTCTTTACTGGGCTAGTGTAGCTCATTCCTTATTTAATCATTTCAGATCAGGAAGACCTTGTTCCCGAGCCAGTTCCGCAGGAGGACGACGAAGGGGACGCCTAAAGACTCCATAGCCATATTTGTAGCTTTTACTTTCAAGTTTCTCCTTTAGGTAGTTTGATCTTTTATATTGGGGAGCACGTTTTTGGTTTTAGTGTAAGGGATGTTAATCGAATTTTTGACTTCGCTTCCGCATTTAATATTTTTAATATACATTCCATTATGAATTTTCGGGGCTGTTACAGTTTGTGACTTACCTCTAAACGGGGTATGTGTACAAAACAACTAAACATTAATTCTACCAGGGACTTCTTAGCTTTCATTCTCAGCATGCAAGACAAGAATTCAGATTTTGATCCTAATTGGCAAGAAATCCTTTTATATGCATCGATTATTAGAGATCATGTATGAAAATGAAGAAACAAGTTGAGATTTAAACTTGATACCCGAGGTATTTTCAAGCTGAAGGACTCATGAAAGAAATCTAATATTCTTTTGATTTCATAAAAAAAAACCTCTATCTGCAAAGAAAGAAAATATGAATCATATCAAAATCCCAAGCTTAGTAAAGCATTATATTATTATCTACTATAATGCAGTGAAAAAGATGAAGAAACAATTATTTCTTGTCTCTCGAAATATCTATATCAACGTTTATAGATTAGAAAATTATCTTTGACATGCTAGTGGCTGAATGTGAGGAGATATTATTTTGTCCGAAGATAACAAGGTGAAAAGTGCATGGATTGATTCAAGTCCTCTGCGACTCGCAAATGGATGTAGCTTCTTGTGCTAATGACAACAACTTGCTTGACTGGACATTTGAGAAGATCACAAGGGAGATTAAGGTTTTCAAACCCTATTTTGTGTACAGTTATATCACCTAGACCTCTAGAACATACAATTTCAAAGCCTATTATTTAGTTAAATAGGCTTACAAAAACAAAAGACGTTATTATTCCTTAATTTTATGTGTTTTATTTATAAAAAAAAGCTATAAATCAAATTGTATATGATTAGTAATATGTATAATATTTGATGGTAGTTTATCTATGCTATATGCCTTTTTTTATTTATGGAACATATAAATTTGATTCTTTTGCTAATTAACGTGAATCCCTCAAGTAATGATGTGAGAAATAACTGTGCACCATTCCTCCATTGTAAGTAAGGCCTCGTTATCATATTATATTGTGCAAGTCCTACTACAGTTATTTCTTTAAGATGTTACCATCTATCACGTGGCATTTTAAAATATCGCAAACATTTTTTCTTTTTTCTTTTTTTTTTTTTTTTGTTTATGTAGCATAGATAATAATATAAATATTTTAATATAAAACTACACTAATAGGTTCAAGGTTTAGATTGATTATTTAATTTGAGATGATCATAAATGAGTTATAAGATCTGAACTCGCAAATGATTAATGTATATTAAATTGAACAAGTAGATATTTTAAATATTTGTGAATAGGTAATTAATTTAGCTGTAAACTCGTTGTTAAGAGACACAGGAAAGGCCTATCATTTTCAAAAATATAATATGAGCAGAAGAATGTTGCAGCATTTAAGGACAAACGTCACGACAAGGTTTTGCTTGTATTCCCTCTTTCCAATTCTTGTATTTCACAAGAAACCAAATCTCCAGATATATATATATATATATAAATAAATAACAAATAAAATATTTTATTTGCAGTGCATAAATATTATATGCATACATATATTCTGCCAATTAATCTTCAATGGATTTCTCTGAATCATTCAATTATAGTGGGCCAACTCCTGCTTTGGATTTTCTTTGCTGGCCTTTACCCCTTTATGCTCGTGTACCCTCCCACCAACTTCCAATTCACATCCCAATTGGTTGTTTATTAACATCCATCACCTTCATATTCGTTAATTTTTTTTTTCTTTTCTCAATTAATTTTCTTGTAATAAAAATTAAATTTTTTATCAATTATTTTAATTATGTACTTACTAGATATTGAGAGATCTTTCACGATAATACAAAATAAAAGAAAGAAAGAATAAGACTTCTTATCTCACACCTCTCCTTATCGAAAATAATTATGTTAAATACGTATTAGAAAATAAGTCCAAGAAATACATTCATTGATGGAATTCCTCCGTTTATCGTAGTAGTTATTTATTAACTGAACGGTTATTTTTTTTTTTTTACTAATAAATCGTGAATTTGAATTAAATTATATAATATTTATATTTTTATTAGAATATATATATATATATATTATCTAATTAAAAGAAATATATAAATTTTAATTAAAAAATGACTTTTATCATCATATTATTTATAAATGTAGTTATATATATATATATATTATTTTTAAGATTACCTCGCTGCCTCTCCTCTTCATCGAATTTATAGCTAAGTTGGCTGTAAATACAATTAATATTTGATTATGAAAGATTGTATTAAACATAAGATGAATAGGATTAAAGTTTTTAAAAAGGATAAAAGAGTTGCTCTTTTTTTGGGATCAGAAACAAAAATGAAGCATTCACAAACTAGTAGAATGTCATTTTTGTAAATTTTTTTGAAGAAAATCCATTACATTCTTCCTCAATATAAACTAATTTTCTTTAATAAATAAATAATTATTTATCTCAAGGCAGATCATATAAAGAGAAATAAAATGGTGATTTACCTTTCATTTAATCTACAAATTGTGTAATTAATAATTTTAATTTGGAGTCTAAGGTTATTTTTGGATAATTCAAAATTTATGTGGAATTTGCAGACTTGTTTAATTAGAGAAAATATGAATTCTAAGAAGGGATGGTAAAAATTGAGCTCATGCGGGATTATTAATTAAATATGAAATTATGAATTCCGAATTTCACTAATTCTGTTAAACTTTAAAATATATTATTTTAATTCCATAAAAATAAAACTCATACAAATTTTGTATTTACTTTAAACATAGCCTAATTAATTTAAAAATGAGTGGAACACATGTATGGTACTAAGTTGGGTGTGGTTTTTATTGTGAATTGCAGATATATATATATATATATATATATATGTATGTATATATTATTGGTCGCTAGCAATGGACAATGGTGGCCCAAAATTTTGTTGTGTTTGAGTGCAAATAGATAGCCATAGTATGGATTTAGTCACTTCAGGGCCCTTTTTATTTTATTTGCTGTCCATATCACTAGCAAACTACCAAATTTTGGTGTCCATAGCACTAGCTTAGAAAACGCCAAATTAACCCCAAACACACACCCAAAGATAAATTTACCCATCACATTTCATGGGTTTTAAAAAAAACCTATTGCTTACAATGTTTGGTTTCAATTTCACAATAAATTCAAACTATCTTCAACAGCAAAAATCTTATTAACATAATAAGATATTATAGAAAATTTGATACACTTAGAAAAGAATAAAACTGTAATCTTTTGAATACAAATAAAAAATATTAAATAAATATCAGTAATAGATATATTTTAATATATTAAACATTACAAGATTAACTTTACAAAATACCATCAATTACTCTTAATTTAATAATTTTTAAGTCTATTTTTTTACAAAAAAAATTGTGAATTTGAGTTAAATTATATTTTTATATATATCTTTATTTAGTAGTTAATTATATTATATTATGATTATTGTATATATAGAACTTAATTAATAAATATATGTTATCTATTTTTTTTTTTTTTTTTTTTTTTAAAAAAAAACTTTATAAACCATCAAACGAGAAAAGATTGATTAAAACTAGGATTTTCTCTTATTTAGCCTCAAACCACTAAAAGATCCACTAAAATAGAATGATTAGGCTTGGATGTAATTAGGTCACGTATCTTCCAAAGGGTTGGTAGTAACTAGATGTATATAAAACACTTTTTTTAGATTGTATTTCCTTTTTCTTTTTGGTAATTATGAATTTAAATTTGTCAACAAGTTAAGATGGTACGAATGGTCTTATGGCATTCAATCAAATCTAAAAACAATGATCTAGAATTATTGAATTCAAAATAATAAGTTTATAAAAAAACTAAAAAGTATTAATTGATTAAAGTCGAATAAACTTTTTTAATATCTGATGTATTCTTACGTTAAATAAATATTGAAACTAAAATTTTTAAAATAAATCAGAATATAAAAAATTATTGAATTAAAATATGTTGATTATATCGAAAAGATTTTTATCTTATCTCTATTTAATATTATATATAAAATTTTAGAGTGTCATTAAAATTAAAAAAAATTATATAAATATTGAATAATAATTATATTATTAGTCATACATAAAATAGAGTTAAATTTTGAGTGGGTATGGGTTAGAGGCAGGGATGTAAGGTCTATTTAGTATCAATTTTTAAGTAAGTCGGGTGGTAAAAAATGTTAGGTTAATTATATTACCAATCATTGACATTTTTAAATTGTAGGGTCAAAGTGGGTAAACACAATGAGACATAAAGAAAACAAGCAATTCCATCATACTAATTTATATTTATTCACAATATATATATATGAAAAAAGAAGAAAATATTTATGCCAATATCATTCACAACAAAATACCATTTTATAATTAATACAGAAAATACAAAAAAAAAAAAAAAGAAAAGAAGAAAAAATTAGCTGAGTCCTAACTCTTTATTGGTTCATTATATCTCTCTTGTCCTGCTCGTTGTCCCTTCACTAGAAAGCGAGCTAATTACCAGACCCCCATGAACATTGAAAAAAGAAAATGGCATTTTTTCCACCCTCGAAACTTTGGATTTTGTCTAATTATCTTCCCTTTTTTCAACCCTAAATTCTTTCTTCCTCTCCCAATTTTTTTCCCATGTCATTTTCTTTCGGCACAGACACCAAATCATGTCCCAGGGATCTGCTTTTCTTTGCCAATGACACTTAACTAACACACCCAACACCTTGACGAGTTCTGTGGACTCAGCTGTTTCTCTGTTGAACCCATTTCGTAAATGCTTCAAGTGTGTTCATGTCGGCTCTGTAGTACTTTTGCGTGAATTCAAGCAGCATAGGCCATGTAAAATCTGGGTATCTTCTCGGGTTGCAGGCGTCAACCAATTCTCCCGGTGGCTTCACCACTCGGTCACTCTTCGGACACAGAAAGAACGCAAGTGATTTTCTCGGCGTTCGGCTGTTCACCACCGCTTGGTGCAGGCAACTTCTGTATTTGCCGTTCGAAAGAGCCTGACCAACAAGAAAAAATTTTTAAATTAATCTTTTTTTAACCATCAAAGTAAAAAATTTTGAATTTTATATGTTTTGTTCTTACCATGAAGGTGTCGCCAATGTTAACGACAAAGGCATTGAAATTTGGGCTAATTGCGCGCCATTCATTGTCTACAAACACTTGAAGACCACCCACTTGGTCTTGGTGAAGGATTGTTAAAGAAGCTGGATCACAGTGAGGCCCTGTTCCGAGTGTAAGGTCAGGTTTTTGGCATGGCGGATAATAATTCAACCTCATTATCGAATCATTCTCTTCAAAAAATTCTCTAAAATGATTTCTCCCTACTCCAAGACTTATCGCTAGCAGCTCCATAATTCTAAGCGAGAGTCTGCTCATGGCGTTACAGTACTCCTGGTATACCTTCCTGTAATATACATAAATTTATATAACCATAAGCGACATAAACAAAAACAGAGATGGGAAAAGAAAAACAGAGCATGGTTTTGATTTAGATTGTTACGATCATCTTTACGTACCCAAATTGCTTGAATCCCTCTCCCATTGTGTTACACAAATATTCTTCAACGACCTGGGACGAGCCTTTCTCTTCTGAATAGCGGAAGGAAAGTGTTTCCTTCCATGGAAGATGACAGGAGAACCTACCGGTGAAGCTACTGGCATAGCCACAGTGGTCGCCGAGTTTCCTCTGCGACTTTTGCTTCTCACAGAGCGGGAGTTCAAAGAAGCTGTCCATGTACATATGAGCATCGGCAATGAGTGTGGCGTCGACTCCATGGTTGACGACAAGAAAGAAGCCGTGGTTCTTGCAGGCCTGGGAGACGAGGCTGGCGGCTTCCATTACAGCGTCAGAGGTATCATCATGATGGTGAGAAGACAGAAGGCCGCTTAAGTCAACAAGCGGGACTTTGAGCTCCCGCGCATTAACACAAGGCTTTTCATGGTCAGGCCAGATGAATTGTTTTGGTATGTGGGATTGGTAACGCAGCACCGACGCATCAAACACTAGTCTCTGACCGTTTCTTTGTTCATCTTCTTTACCGGTAACAAGAGACATAGTTGGTATTTTTGTGATGCAGTCAACTGCCATTTTGCATAAAGGGTCTTCTTTTCTTTTTCTTTTTTTCTTTTAATATATGAAAGAGACTAAGTGGGTATATATATATATCTATATATATATATGTATGCAAGTGATGTTCGTATACTTGTTGGGGAGCAGTTAATTATGATGAGAAACGAAAGAGAGAGACGAGAGAAGTAGAAATTAAGTTTGAAGGAAGCTGAGCTCTCATTGAGTAAGAGAGTGAAGTGAAAGTGGAATCTCTTTATAGCATGAGGATCTGATTTCTCCAATTTATGGGATTGCAGAGAAGGCTCTAGAGAAGTTTGTAGTTTGCAAAAAGGGGTCTAGAGAAATGAATAATTAGAGAATAATCCAAAGTGTAAGATTGTTGTCTGTTTTTATAGTTGGCAGTACAGCGCTTCCCAATATTATTTTGGCAGTTAGTCGAGAGAGAGAGAAATACTAAAATTGTTACTGTCATCCCTGTCTTGTAGTTGGGGAGTTTGTTTTTTTTTCATTCTTAAAAATTTAGGGTTTGACCCATGAAGACTCTAAAAGCTAAGGCTACACACTTAACCTGAGCAGTATGCATTATAGGAGGCAAAAATATATATTTATATATGAGGTTTTCTTAGCAAAAGATATAGGGAAATTTTCAATGCTGATTTCCTATTTGGTTTCATCTTTACATAGATATATATATATATGTATGTATATGCATATATACGTATGTAACTCAGTGTTCTTATTACAAGGGAAGGGAGTAAAATTCCAGCCTCATTTGCTGCCAAACGAATCTCACCTGCTGCCGGTTGAATTTCAGTGTCACTTACCAAAGATTTGGTGGCATATGGTATTGCTAAATTATATAATATATCACTTTTCACCAAAAGTAAAAAGAGAGAATTCCAACTTCCTTCGCCTTTTACTGTAAAAACCCACTTAATTAATTATAATTAATTCAGAAATTTTATTTTAATTTATCTTAATATTATGATGATAGGAAAGAGTAGATTAAAAGATAATAATAATTAAAACGAATCAATTGTCATGCATCTTTTTAAGTGATGTTTAAATGATTGAGGAACAGCCTATCTTTTCTCTGCTCTTAACAAGTGTAGCTAGTTTTGTTTTCATTCGAGCAGAGATGTTTTATTTTTTATAATCAATTTTAGTATATGATTAATTATATAATATTATAATATATTTTATATTATATACATATATATTGCAGATACCTATCCTTAGCTCCTATTTTTTTAGAAGAAAAAGGCTTTATTCAAACATTTTTATTTTGAATCAGACAAACGGTGCACGATCAAAACCTTTAAATAGTTTTAGAATAATTTTTGGTCTGGACTGTAACTTTTGTACTGATATAATCGTTATAGACTCTAATATATTCGCATAAATAATTTTAAATGACAATCATAAACCATAAAAACTATAATTTACCGGAACTTATGCTTTTTTTTTTTCCTTCCTTGAAGACTATAACACTTTTAAGCTTTCTCTGTTATAGATTATTAGAAACCTAAGTTACAAAGTATATGTATTTTGAAGAGTGTGTACTTTAATATTTATATTCAGTAAGAGTAAAAATATATAGAAAGCTTATTAAATTGTTGAAAATGACTTTTAAAAGATAACAAACTAGTATTTGTAATTTTTTTAACTTTTTATGTTCTTGTTCTCATCCTTTTAAAAAAAAAAAAAAAAAAAAAAAACAGTCAACTATCATTCATTAAAGTAAACATGCAATATCTAGGGGTAAGCTTTCCCATATATAAAAATAAAAAGTATGCAAAGCAGCTCTAGCTAGCTTATGAGCCACTTGATTATACTATCTTGTAACCCATCTAATTGACGCATTATGCATGCATCTAAGTAATTCTTTACAATCTTGAATGATAAAACCAAATTTAAAAAAGTCTTCCGCACTAGATAGCAGAGTCGAATGGATAACCTGGGCATCAATCTCCACTATGCCAGGACTTGAAACTTGATCCCTGAGGTACTGTAGCATTCTCTGACATCCCAAAACTTCCGTCAGGTAGGGGGAGTAACATTCAAGAAATCGGCCTACGAAGGCTGTCAACGTGTAACCTGCTGAGTCCTATATTACTGCTCTAAAGCTCGCTCCCTCGCTAGAGCCTAACACAGCCTTGTCTATATTGCATTTCCAGAAACTTGATTCTGATCACTACCATTCTTGGAGGGTGTCTTGGGCGTATACTGGTTGTTCTCACAGTTCTTGTAACGGCCTCGGAAATTTTAATGAAATGTATGTATTAAAAATCTCAAATGTAGAAGCGTAATAAATTTTTTGATTAACATCCCTTACACAATAACCAAAACGTACTCAAAACATGAAGGAACAAACTAACTAAAAGAGATACTCGAAATAAGAACTATAAATATAACTATGAACTCTTTAGGCTTCCCCTTCGCCGTCTTCCTGCGAAACAGGCTCGGGAACAACGTCTTCCTGATCTGAAATGGTTAAATAAGGAATAAGCTACACTAGCCCAGTAAAGACATCACACTATCTCACCGCCACGGAAGTAAAGGTGGGTAGAAAACAAAAATGACCAATGGAGCATAATTTATAACAAACTCGTTTATTAACATAAAAACCTTTACTGTCCACTTACCTCGGTGAGATCCATGAAAACAACATATGAAAGCAATAACATTATCATCATCATGAAATCATGCTTACCACACCTTTGCATTTCAATCATTAAACAACATATTTTCCTCTTTTACCAGCCTACTAGTATCCATGGGGATCCATAGGGAGTCCCTGCTACTCGTGAACCATTAACATTACAACCTGATTCTAGGATAGTCCCCATACCCCGTTCGGTATGGGCGCCAAAACCATGAACTTCAATACCCCGTCCGGTATGAGGGTGAAATGGGCCGTCTCCATACCCCGTCCGATATGGGCGCCAAAACACATAAGGTCTCCATACCCCGTCCGGTATGAGAGACCACGTTCCCGGTAGGGTTCCCTACGGACCCGGTCCGTCCACCATCTCCTAGGATATCTAGTCAGACTGTCCACATTTTTCACTTATCAATTCATATAACTTTTTTGCCTTTTTTCTTAATCTCAACCATCCAATCATACACAACATGTATACCAGTAATTGACACCAAACAAGACAACACAATATCGGGTTTACCATAATACAAACTATAATAAAAGAAACCATGATTCATGCATATGAGATCATAACATAATTACATCAAACATCATGCTGCATTTAATACTGAAAATTAGATCAAACAATAACAGACCAACACTGTATCAGACTCGAGCTCCATTGGTAACCTCAATCAATTATACATCTATAAAGTCTCAAAATACCGTTTAATTATTTATTAAGCTTTAATACCGTGATAGGAAATAGGGTGAGGGGTCCTTACTTATTTTGGGTCTGAAATCGACTCTACAGTGCGCCTACGGACTGTCCCTAATTTCTCTGAATTTTTTTCAGAAAACTGAAATGCACTACCGGTACCTGCACGTATCCCAAAAAATCCCAAATCAGACTTAAGGTCCCTTTCGGCCAATATCGAAATTCCAGCATGGCGGTGATCCGCCTCGAGTTGGCCGTTTTCAGTCGAATTCGGCCAAACTTGCATCGATCCCTACGATAAAACAACCTTAGAGCCCTCGGTGGGCCAAAAAAATCACAAAAAACTGAGACTTACTAGCGGCGGTGCTCTCGGGTGCGGCGGCTCCTCCGGCGTGGGTCGCGTTTTGATGTTTGGCTCCGATCAACCTGTAGAGAAAAGAACAGTGATCACAGTGGTATAAAATTTGCATCGAACGGAGGCCGGGAAGGGCCTCATCGGAGGCAAAAACAGAGGGGAGTCGTGGCGGCGGCGCCGGACTTCGGCGGGGTTTTTCGGCCGTTTGGCCGGTGGTTTGGCTCCGGTTTGGCCATAGGCGGATTCAACATCGAAAAACAAGCCAGGGAGAGAAAATTTACCTCGATCGACGGTCAGAAACTTCTCCGGTGCGACGGCAGGTGGCGACGGCCGGCTCCTCCGGCGTCTGGTTCTTCTTCTCCGGCGACGCACTGGCGGCTAGAGTTTTATGGTCAGGTGTGGGTGCGGTTATTTATACCCTTTGCCTTTTAATCTCAATCGTCCATCAAGATTAAATCTGGACCGTTCGATCGTGATTTAATTGGGATTAAATCTGGGTCGTCCATCGCGATGCAATCTGGGCCGTCTGTGCCTGATTGAATCTGGGTTGTCCATACGCGTGAATCTGGGCTGTCTGTGCGCACGTTTGATCTGGGCCATCCGTGCATGCGGGAACGAATTTGGGCCGTCTGATCGCGCGCACGCAGATCGCCCACATGGCCCGTCCCGTGTCAGTGTTTCCTTGCCACGCGGCGTGTCCTGGTTTGTCAGGGCTGCTGATGTGGCTGCTGACGTGACACAACTTTTTTAAATTACGTTTTGACCCCTGGTTTCTGATTTTCTTTTCAAAAATACCCCCAGAATCCAAATTTTCACCCTTTTTTTTCAAAATCAATTTCAATTAAATCCAAATAATATTTTTACCCAATTTTATCATTATTATTATTTTTATTTTCTTTAAATTAAATTAAATTAAATTAAATAAAAATCTAAAAAATTCAAATACAAAAAAAGAAAAATAAATAAAAATAAAAATAAAAATAATAAGAATAAAATTAAAAAAAAATACTTGGGTGTTACAGTTCTGGATATTGTTTATTTGTTTATATTCATTTAAATATTTCCTTATGAGGTAAATGGACGTTTGATCAACAAATTATTTCCCATTCCACACTAGGTCATTTCTCTCTAGCCAAAGCCGTCACATGCAACAGAAGACTTCTACTGTCTCCTTTCTTGACATGGAGCGAATGATTTGCTCTACCTTATCAAATACATTCACTTCATAAAACACGCTGGGGTAAAAATGTAGGAGTCTCTAGCACCCGTTTGCTTTTGGGCATTCAAATATGACATCTTGAAGGCTCTTCTCTTGGTCACATCTCGGGCACTTGGTCTGGATATCAATTCCTCTCTCACGCAATCGTCATTTAATTGATAAGGTGTTAGATAGTACTCACATATGATGTTCTTGACCTTCATCAACATCTCAGTTTTCTAAGAGAATTCCCACAGATTTTGACCTCTAACCTCTGCTCATATGAAACATCCTG